TGGTGGAACATCAAAAAAACATGTAAATGAAGAGCTTCGCACAGAACATAACCTAACCTAACCTACAGTATTTTAGGCTTAGGTGCAGGTTAGAATACGAAGGTACAGGACGTCTTAAATAAAACACACAAAAAATTATCGATTAATTTTCATTGAGTATTAAAGTTTTAGTAATAAAAAGAACCAGTCATCCCAATTTTGCAAAAACTTTTGTTGCTTTTTAAAGTTTGTGTGTGTGTATGTGTGAGTGTGTGTGTGTGTGTACAAAAGTATGTCTTATTTTTTTTTAATTTAGAGTTTTGTCGTCTACTGAACTAGACAGGTTACGAAAGAAAGTACAGCATTTCAGTTAGAGTGGAGTGCAGTTCATCTGTTGAAGATAGAGTAACAGGTAGAGGGGAGAGTTGACTCACCTGTTCTAAGGACCCCATATCATTATAGCGAACTTTGCTTCTGGGTTCTTCATCCTCGTCTGATGGTGTGGTGGAGTCTGCTTGTAGGAGGAGACGATGCTGCTCCACGTGTCTACGGTTTTCCATGAGATCTTCCAGCTCCCCGCTCTCCAGGGATGACTGTCTCCGCCCCGCTCCGCCTGCAGCTCTCCAGGAAGTGTAGCGCGCGGAGGACAACCCCCCGCCTACCACTACACCCTCCCCACCTCCGGACACTCCTACAGGGCTCACAGTCCTCTCCGGTGCCAGTCTACTGCTGCAGAAGAGAGAAGCAAGGAATCACACATACGGTATACTTCAACAATTTAATCACATGAAAGCACAGGTGTGTAGCTGATCTGGGTATTTTATATTTGAATCAGGGTTTTTCCGGAAATCGAGCTGAGTCACGTAATAATTCCAAAGCGAGCGGCAGTTTTCGAATATGCACCCGAGGTGCAAACTTTTGGACCTATATTGCCACGTTTTTTTTTTAATTCTAAGATGGCGCAGCAAATTTTCAGAAACAAATCCTGATTCTAAAATTGCGCACATGACTTATTATAGTGGATGAGGCGGGAGACACTCACCTATACTCATCGTAGGAGTGCAGTCTCCTGGGGGAGCATAGTTCGGTCATCTCAACGTCCTGATGGTGAGGGCGGCTTCGGCTCACTCTGAGGGACTCGCTGCGGGCGGGGGAGGTGCCAGCCGAGGACCCGCCCACCCTCTCACTCCTGCTGCGGCGGAAACCACCCCGGGGGGGCTGACTCTCTTGCAGCGTCCTATCACTGTTGCTACTGCTGCTGCATGGCCGAGACCCTGCGTCCATGGATGGCAGACATCGCACTGACCCAGGGCTTTTGTCGAGGGCTGGTGGCGGCAGGGTGCTCTCACATGCTCCCGTGCAGCCAGCGGCACTCAGGGACAACCGCCGGTCGCCCTCAAAGCTACTGCGGGAGGTGTGAAAGGCAGCGCGGGCTCCTTCGTAACCGCTAGGCTTGGCCAGGTCAAAGCTGGCACTGCCGTATTTATGATATGTGTGTGTCCTGGGTAGCGGTTCCCCGGTAGAGGCACTATGGGTGTAGGCGGGTGGGTGGGCGGGGCGGCTCCGTGTGCGGTTGAGGGCGTGTGTGCGGGTGCCGCCCTCTGCCGTAGCCACCACTACCAGCGGCACCTCGGGCGAGGACGGCCCCGTCGTCACGCGGATGATGGGGTCGACCTGTAGGAGCAACCATTTACCTTATAAACTTGTGACTGCATGACTATTACAACACCTAATATACCACTACACCTACTGCACTACTACAATAACTACTTCCCCATTACAACAACTACTGCACAACTACAACAACTACTGCACTACTACAATAACTACTGCACTACTACAATAACTACTGCCCCATTACAGCAACTATTGCACCACTACAACAACTACTGCACTACTACAATAACTACTGCCCCATTACAACAATTACTGCACTACTACAATAACTACTGCCCTATTACAACAACTACTGCACCACTACAACAACTACTGCACTACTACAATAACTACTGCCCCAATACAACAAATACTGCACCACTACAACAACTACTGCACTACTACAATAACTACTGCCACATTACAACAACTACTGCACTACTACAATAACTAATGCATTACTACAATAACTACTGCTCCATTACAACAACTACTGCACCACTACAACAACTACTGCACTGCAACAATAACTACTGCCCCATTACAACAACTACTGCACCACTACAACTACGGCACTACTACAATAATTACTGCCCCATTACAACAACTACTGCACCACTACAACAACTACTGCACTACTACAATAACTAAAGTCCCATTACAACAATTACTGCACTCCTACAATAACTACCGCCCCATTACAACAACTACTGCACCACTACAACAACTACTGCACCACTACAACAACTACTGCACTACTACAATAACTACTGCCCCATTACAACAACTACTGCACAACTACAATAACTAATGCATTACTACAATAACTACTGCCCCATTACAACAACTACTGCACCACTACAACAACTACTGCACCACTACAACAACTACTGCACTAATACAATCACAACTGCCCCTTTACAACAACTACTGCACTACTACAATAACTACTGCACTACTACAATAACTACTGCCCCATTACAACAACTACTGCACTACTACAATAACTACTGCACTACAATAACTACTGCCCCATTACAACAACTACTGCACTACTACAATAACTACTGCACTACTACAATAACTATTGCCCTATTGCTAACTACTGCACTACTACACTAACTACTGCACTACTACACTAACTACTGCCCCATTACAACAATTATGCACTACTACAATAACTATTGCACTACTACAACAACTACTGCACTACTACAGTAGCTACTGCACTACTACAATAACTACTGCACTACTACAACAACTACTGCACTAGTACAATAACTACTGCCCCATTACAACAACTACTGCACTAGTACAATAACTACTGCACTACTACAATAACTACTGCCCCATTACAAAAACTACTGCACCACTACAACAACTACTGCACTAATACAATAACTACTATCCCATTACAACAACAACTGCACTACTACAATAACTACTTCCCCATTACAACAACTACTGCACCACTACAGCAACTACTGCACTACAACAATAACTACTGCCCCATTACAACAACTACTGCACCACTATAACAACTACTGCACTAATACAACAAGTACTGCACAACAACAACAACTAATACACCTACTATACTGCTACAACAACTACTGCACTACTACAACGACTACTGCACTTCTATAATAACTACTACCCCATTACAAAAACTACTGCACAACTACAATAACTACTGCCCCATTACAACAACTACTGTCCCATTACAACAACTACTGCACCACTACAACAACTACCGCACTACTACAATAACTACTGCCCCATTACAACAACTACTGCACCACTACAACTACTGCACTACTACAATAACTACTGCCCCATTACAACGACTACTGCACCACTACAACAACTACTGCACTACTACAACAACTACTGCACTACTACAACAACTACTGCACCGCTACAACAACTACTACACTACTACAATAACTACTGCCCCATTACAACAACTACTGCACCACTACAACAACTACTGCACTACTACAATAACTACTGCCCCATTACAACAACTACTGCACCACTACAACTACTGCACTACTACAATTACTACTCCCCCATTACAACGACTACTGCACCACTACAACAACTATTGCACTCCTACAACAACTACTGCACCGCTACAACAACTACTGCACTACTACAATAACTACTGCCCCATTACAACAACTACTGCACTAGTAAAATAACTACTGACCCATTACAACAACTACTGCACTAATACAATCACAACTGCCCCTTTACAACAACTACTGCACTACTACAAAAACTACTGCACTACTACAATAACTACTGCCCCATTACAACAACTACTGCACTACTACAATAACTACTGCACTACTACAATAACTACTGCACTACTACAACAACTACTGCACTACTACAACAACTACTGCACTACTACAGTAACTACTGCACTACTACAATAACTACTGCACTACTACAACAACTACTGCACTAGTACAATAACTACTGCCCCATTACAACAACTACTGCACCACTACAATAACTACTGCACTACTACAATAACTACTGCCCCATTACAGCGACTACTGCACCACTACAACAACTATTGCACTACTACAACAACTACTGCCCCATTACAACAACTACTACACTACTACAATTACTACTGCACTACTACAATAACTACTGCCCCATTACAACAACTACTGCACCACTACAACAACTACTGCACTAATACAATCACAACTGCCCCATTACAACAACTACTGCACTAGTACAATAACCACGTCCCATTACAACAACTACTGCACCACTACAACTACTGCACTACTACAATAACTACTGCCCCATTACAACAACTACTGCACCACTACAACAACTACTGCACTAATACAATAACTACTGCCCCATTACAACAACTACTGCACCACTACAATAACTACTGCACTACTACAATAACTACTGCCCCATTACAGCGACTACTGCACCACTACAACAACTATTGCACTACTACAATAACTACTGCACCACTACAACAACTAATTACACTACAACAACTACTGCACTACTACAATAACTACTGCACTACTACAATAACTACTGCCCCATTACAACAACTACTGCACTAATACAATACAATAAACTACTGCACTACTACAATAACAATAACTACTGCCCCATTACAACAACTACTGCACTAACAATAACTACTGCACTACTACACTGCACTACTACAACAACTACTGCACTACTACAGTATAACTACTACAATAACTACTGCACTACTACAACAACTACTGCCCCATTACAACAACTACTGCACCACTACAACAACTACTGCACTAATACAATCACAACTGCCCCATTTCAACAACTACTGCACTAGTGCAATAACTACTGCCCCATTACAACAACTACTACACTACTACAATAACTACTGCACTACTACAATACCTACTGCCCCATTACAACAACTACTGCACCACTACAACAACTACTGCACTAATACAATCACAACTGCCCCATTACAACAACTACTGCACTAGTACAATAACTACTGCCCCATTACAACAACTACTGCACCACTACAACTACTGCACTACTACAATAACTACTGCCCCATTACAACAACTACTGCACCACTACAAACAACTACTGCACTAATACAATCACAACTGCCCCATTTCAACAACTACGCACTAGTGCAATAACTACGCCCCATTACAACAACTACTACACTACTACAATAACTACTGCACTACTACAATACCTACTGCCCCATTACAACAACTACTGCACCACTACAACAACTACTGCACTAATACAATCACAACTGCCCCATTACAACAACTACTGCACTAGTACAATAACTACTGCCCCATTACAACAACTACTGCACCACTACAACTACTGCACTACTACAATAACTACTGCCCCATTACAACAACTACTGCACCACTACAACAACTACTGCACTAATACAATAACTACTGCCCCATTACAATAACTACTGCACCACTACAATAACTACTGCACTACTACAATAACTACTGCCCCATTACAGCGACTACTGCACCACTACAACAACTATTGCACTACTACAACAACTACTGCACCACTACAACAACTACTACACTACTACAATAACTACTGCACTACTACAATAACTACTGCCCCATTACAACAACTACTACACCACTACAACAACTACTCCACTAATACAATCAATACTGCCCCATTACAACAACTACTGCACTAGTACAATAACTACTGCCCCATTACAACAACTACTGCACCACTACAACAACTACTGCACTAATACAATAACTACTGCCCCATTACAACAAATACTGCACCACTACAACAACTACTGCACTACTATAATAACTACTACCCCATTACTACAACTACTGCACCACTACAACAACTACTGCACTAATACAATCACAACTGCCCCATTACAACAACTACTGCACTAGTACAATAACTACTGCCCCATTACAACAACTACTGCACCACTACAACTACTGCACTACTACAATAACTACTGCCCCATTACAACAACTACTGCGCCACTACAACAACTACTGTACTACTACAATAAATACTGCCCCATTACAACAACTACTGCACCACTACAACAACTACTGCACTAATACAATAACTACTGCCCCATTACAAAAACTACTGCACTACTACAATAACTACGGCCTCATTACAATAACTACTGCCCCATTACAACAAATACTGCACCACTACAACAACTACTGCACTACTATAATAACTACTACCCCATTACTACAACTACTGCACTAATACATTAACTACTGCACCACTACAACAACTACTGTACTACTACAATAACTACTGCCCCATTACAACAACTACTGCACCACTACAACAACTACTGCACTAATACAATAACTACTGCCCCATTACAAAAACTACTGCACTACTACAATAAATACTGCCTCATTACAACAACTACTGCCCCATTACAAAAACTACTGCACTACAACAATAACTACTGCCCCATTACAACAACTACTGCACCACTATAACAACTGCTCCACTAATACAACAAGTACTGCACAGCAACAACAACTAATACACCTACTATACTGCTACAACAACTACTGCACTACTACAACGACTACTGCACTACTATAATAACTACTGCACCACTACAACAACTACTGTACTACTACAATAACTACTGCCCCATTACAACAACTACTGCACTACTACAATAACTACTACCCCATTACAAAAACTACTGCACTACTACAATAACTACTGCACTACTATAATAACTACTGCCCCATTACAACAACTACTGCACTAATACAACAAGTACTGCACTACAACAACAACTAATACACTTACTATAGTGCTTCAACAACTACTGCACAACAACAACGAATACACCTACTATACTGCTATAACAACAAATACTACACTACTACAACAACCACTGCATGACTACAACAACTACTGGCCTACTACAACAACTACTGCACTACTACAACGACTACTGCACTACTATAATAACTACTGCACCACTACAACAACTACTGTACTACTACAATAACTACTGCCCCATTACAACAACTACTGCACTACTACAATAACTACTACCCCATTACAAAAACTACTGCACTACTACAATAACTACTGCACTACTATAATAACTACTGCCCCATTACAACAACTACTGCACTAATACAACAAGTACTGCACTACAACAACAACTAATACACTTACTATAGTGCTTCAACAACTACTGCACAACAACAACGAATACACCTACTATACTGCTATAACAACAAATACTACACTACTACAACAACCACTGCATGACTACAACAACTACTGCACTACAACAACAACTAATACACTTACTATAGTGCTCCAACAACTACTGCACAACAACAACGAATACACCTACTATACTGCTACAACAACAACGAATACACTACTACAACAACCACTGCATGACTACAACAACTACTGCCCGACTACAACAACTACTGCACTACTACAACAACTACTGCACTACTACAATAACTACTGCACTACTATAATAACTACTGCCCCATTACAACAACTACTGCACTAATACAACAAGTACTGCACTACAACAACAACTAATACACTTACTATAGTGCTTCAACAACTACTGCACAACAACAACGAATACACCTACTATACTGCTATAACAACAAATACTACACTACTACAACAACCACTGCATGACTACAACAACTACTGCACTACAACAACAACTAATACACTTACTATAGTGCTCCAACAACTACTGCACAACAACAACGAATACACCTACTATACTGCTACAACAACAAATACTACACTACTACAACAACCACTGCATGACTACAACAACTACTGTACTACTATAATAACTACTACCCCATTACAAAAACTACTGCACTACTACAATAACTACTGCACTACTATAATAACTACTGCCCCATTACAAAAACTACTGCACTACTACAATAACAACTGCACTACTATAATAACTACTGCCCCATTACAACAACTACTGCACTAATACAAAAAGTACTGCACAGCAACAACAACTAATACACCTACTATACTGCTACAACAACTACTGCACTACTACAACGACTACTGCACTACTATAATAACTACTACCCCATTACAAAAACTACTGCACAACTACAATAACTACTGCCCCATTACAACAACTACTGTCCCATTACAACAACTACTGCACCACTACAACAACTACTGCACTACTATAATAACTACTGCCCCATTACAACAACTACTGCACTAATACAACAAGTACTGCACTACAACAACAACTAATACACTTACTATAGTGCTCCAACAACTACTGCACAACAACAACGAATACACCTACTATACTGCTACAACAACAAATACTACACTACTACAACAACCACTGCATGACTACAACAACTACTGCCCTACTACAACAACTACTGCACTACTACAACAACTACTGCACTACTACAACAACTACTGCACTATCTACAACAACTACTGCACTACTAAAACAAGTACTGCACAACAAATAATACACCCACTATACTGCTACAACAACTACTGCACTATTACAACAACTACTACACCTTTTATACTGCTACAACAAATACTGCACCAATACAACAACGACTGCACTACTACAACAACTACTGCACTACTACAACAACCACTGAACTACTACAACAACTGCTACACTACTACAACAACTAATACACCTACTATACTGATGCACCAGCTACTATACTATTACAACAATTAATACAGCTACTGTATTGCCATAAAAACTGCTGTACCAATATTACAATGACTGCACTACTACAACAACTATTAGTCCTACAATACTGCTACAACAAGTACAGCACTACTACAACAACTATTACTCCTACTATAATGCTACAACAAGTTCTGCACTACTACAACAACTACTGCACTGCCAATACTACAACTGCTGCAATACTACAACAGCTACTGCAATTCTACAACAACTAATTATCCTACTATAGTGCACCAATACAACAATTACTGCACTACTACAGTAGTGTAGTACTTGTTGTAGTAGCGTAGCACTTGTTGTAGTAGTGTAGTATTTGTTGTTGCACTGTAGTATTTGTTGTAGTACTGTAATATTTGTTTTAGTACTGTAGTATTTGTTGTACTAGTGTAGTACTTGTTGTAGTAGTGTAGTACTTGTTGTAGCACTGTAGTATTTGTTGTAGTAGTGTAGTATTTGTTGTAGTAGTGCAATAGTTGTTGTAGAAGTGTAATAGCAACAACTATTACACTTCTACAACAACTATTGCACTACTACAACAAATACTACAGTGCTACAACAAGTACTACACTACTACAACAAATGCTACACTAGTACAACAAATACTACAGTACTAAAACAAATACTACAGTACTACAACAAATTCTACAGTGCAACAACAAATACTACACTACTACAACAAGTGCTACACTACTACAACAAGTACTACACTACTTCAACAAATACTACACTACTGCAACAAATACATACTACAGTACTACGACAAATACTACACTACTACAACAAACACTACACTACTACAACAAATACTACATTACTACAACAAATACTACACTACTACAACAAGTACTGCACTACTACAACAAATACTACAGTACTACAATGAATACTACACTACTACAGCAAGTACTGCACGACTACAACAAATACTACAGTACTAAAACAAATACTACACTACTACAAGTACTGTACTACTACAACAAATACTACAGTACTACAACAAATACTACACTACTACAACAAGTACTGCACTACTACAACAAATACTACAGTACTAAAACAAATACTACACTACTACAACAAGTACTGCACTTCTACAACAAATACTACACTACAACATCTACTCCTTTTGGACGTTATTCCCACTACTTTTCAGTTTACAGGTATTTTGAACAGAGTTCGAAATTCGAAACAATTAAGTATCATTCGAATTAGTTTCACAAAAAGGAATATCACTGAAACCATAGTCGAGACACGCTTCATAACAATTAGACAAAGTGTGTCTGTACAAAAATTTTATAAATATATGTGAGTCAATAGGGCAAATATTAATAACACTGATAATATTTCAGTATATATTCGGTAACATTATCGAAAACGGAATGCCGTACTGCTAGAAGACTGTTTGAGAGCTTTATAGGTTCAAATACCCGTAAGACACCCATATTCATACCCACGATTGGCACCTAAGTTAACGAAACACCAGCAGTTGTTGATACTATGTGTTTGATTGTCCTGGATAATTTAATATGACGAAGTATTTTGGTGATCTGTCGGTGTAATATCTACAAGTGTGTCGAAGTTATCTGATGGAATGTAAATTTATAATGAGATGGTGTCAAAAGATATGACACAATGGTATTATGCAAAATATTGTCTACATATTATGAATTTCCGTGGGAGTAAAGTGCAAAAAGGGATAGTGCGCTATAATAACTACTAACGCTAAAACAACTAGTAAGACAACTACATCAACAATGCTATGATAGGAGGTGTCTGCCTACCTCTAGGACAATGTCCCTGGGGTCGGTCCTGTGGTCGGGTGTAAGCGGCTGTGGGCGGGGGGCGGACCGACCTTGGTTGGCCCCCGCCCCCTCCGCCTCGCCGTCACCACCTTCCAACTGCACACAACGTTGACGCTGGACGGGCGGCGACCTCAAACTCCTCTTACTGCCACGCCCGCTCCTGTAGGAAACACAGCAAAGGTTAGAGAGACCGATGGGGGAGACAAAGGGAGTAAGGGTGGATGACAGAGGAGACAAAAGGAATTAGACGGGATGATGAAGGAAACAGGAGTTAATGTGAATGATGGAGGGGACATAGCAGAACCACGATTAAACAAATGTATAAAATCGTTAGGGAAGAAATCAAAATTCATAAAATAATTAGCTTACAATACCAGAATGTCAAGAGTAAAAATACAATTAAAATATCTCACTTGCTTAATGAAAACACCGTACTACACTTTTAAGGTTTACACACTGTACTGTATCCATTAATGCCATATGTTCAAAGTTTACACGCTGCACTTAAGGTCAACTAGCCGCCATCTTGAGACAACCATCTCTCAATGTTTAAAGATTGATAATATGATTTTTAACTCGACAGTTGGACATGATTTAAGACACATTACTGTATATCCAGTTAGGACACTCATATAAGATACATTATATACTGTATATCCAGTTAGGACATGATATAAGGCAAAACGGCGCATAGTTCTAAGCGAAGACGATCAAGCAGTAATCCAGATTTTCACAAATGATTAACAGGTGGCGTTATGTGGGCAGCAGATGGCGTTATGTGGACAGCAGATGGCGTTATGTGGGCAGCAGACGGCGTTATGTGGGCAGCAGACGGCGTTATGTGGGCAGCAGATGGCGTTATGTGGGCAGCAGATGGCGTTATGTGGGCAGCAGATGGCGTTATGTGGGCAGCAGGTGGCGTTATGTGGGCAGGCAGTGGCGTTATGTGGGCAGCAGTTGGCGTTGTGTGAGCAGCGGGTGGCGTTTTGCGGGAAGGGGGTAGCGTTATGTGGGCAGCGGGTGGCGTTATGTGGACAGCAGGTAACGTTATGTGGGCAGCAGGTGGCGTTATATGGGCATCAGGTGGTGTTATGTAGCCAACAAGTGTGGTTATGTGGGTAGCGGGTGGTGTTATGTAGGCAGCAGAAGGTATTCTGTGGATGGCAGGTGAGGTTATGTGGGCAGCAGCTGATGTCATGTGAGCAGCAGGTAGTGTTGTAAGTGCAGCAGATGGTATTATGTGGGCAGCAGGAGGCATATGTAGGCACCAGGTGATGTTATGTGGGTAGCAGGTAGTGTAATGTGGACAACAGGAAGCATTATGTGGACAGCAGGTGGTGTTATGTGGGCAGCAGGTGGCGTTATGTGGGCAGCAGGTGGCGTTATGTAGGCAGCAGGAGCGTTATGTGTGCAGCAGAAAACGTTATGTGTGCACCAGGTGTCGTTATAAAATAAAATAAATAAATAAAGAAGTTATAATCGTGGTGTTCTTACTAACACCATGTTACGTGTGTTATTCCAGATGATACTAAATGTTACATAATACTTCCTAGAGATAAATGTACAGTACAGTATGTATCAGGTGCCACAAAGAGAGCTCAAGCCCTCATTTGGTTCGGCCATGTCAATATTGTTTTATTATCCACTCTGTATCTGTATTTTTTTCCTGCCAGTACACAGCCTCTTCACCATTAAGACTCCTAATGTGCCTCCTTGTGGCAAGACACGGTAACTGGGGGCCTCGTAGGCCCAGGCTAGACTAGAAGGAGATTCCGGAGTAGTAGTGGCCCAAGAGGGACGGCGCATAGGCCCACTGGCATGTGGACAAAACATAGCGCCTACCAACCAGTGCCCCGTTGCCTTGCGGATTAACCTTGGTAGATAAAAGGCTAAGGGAGTAAACCTTGAACGAAAAAATATGTGGCGGAGCCCCGCATCAGGCATACTTGCTTACTGAGCTCCAACAAGACCCTAACGGCGGTATAGGCGGAGGAGGTGACCACCTTGGGAACCCAACGACTACACCGGCAGACTCCCAAAATTGGGCTATCGGCAGTCCATTGCAACTTCCCCCTTCCTAGTCGTAGCAACACTTGCACCAGTGCATCAGTAAGAGGGAGAGCCAAGATGTGTGGTTGCAGCTTGTACTCCTGCCTCGCCACATAAATCAACTCACATGCAGCCATCATCCAGCTTATCATACTTCCTCATCATCAAAACCCATTATACCCGTAAAAGTCCTATGGCGACGGACAAGCGGCGACAACGACAGACAAAGAAGACTACCGTGAGTCTCTAGTCACAACTCTGCACATGAGCGGCACAGATAAAATGGTCGTTTATGTACTGGGATCTAGGCAGCAGTGCATTCCGGTCTTGTCTGTGCGACTAAGGAGCCCTTTCGAGGAGCCACTCTGCTCACCTCACATGGGAAGGGGGCTAGAAAAGGTGCCCTAAACATAGCCTGCCTAAAGAACCAACCTGACTGAGCAACCGCACCCAGTAAGGTCATCCTTATGCGGTCGAAAACACAATCATAATCACAGACCAAAACAAAAACAAACTATGCAACCTCTTATAAGTTGCATGGAATGTTAGGAGCTTTCTGTATACTGGCATAAATGAGCGTCCTGAAAGAAGAACTGCCCTTGTGGCAAAAGTATAACATCGACATAGCAGCCATTAGTGAGTCCCGGCTCCCAGGCGAGGGTCGACTCCCAGAACGGGTGGTCTGGCTATAGCCTTCTTCTGGAAGGGTAAGCCTACTGCAGAGAGAAACCGCATTTATGGAGTTGGCTTTGCCATCCGGCAACGCATCCTACACAGGCTAACTGAAATGCCTGTTGGGATCAACGAGCACCTCATGACGCTCCAAGTAACTGAATAACTCACGGCAAGCCTTTTTCATCAGTGCATACGCCCCAACACTGGATGCAGAGGATGAGATCAAGGAGGCCTTTTATGCCGACCTCGACAGAGTGCTAACCTCTATCTCCAGAGAAGATGAGGATGTGCTCCTTCGTGACTTCAATGCCAGAGTTGACAGAGATGCTGATATTTGGCAGGAAACCATAGGGAGAAATGGACTAGTGCAAGTGTAATCCCAACAGCCTACTCCTCCTCAGCAAATGTGCTGCACAAAACCGCACTATCACTAATACCTTGTTTAGGCAGGCCGACAAATTCAAGGGTTCATGGCAACAACCATGATACAAACACTGGCATATCATTGACTACTTCATTGTCAGAGAAAGGGATCGCCGGGATGTCCTCATCACCCGAGCGATGCGTGGCTCAGACCACTGCGACCTCATCATAGACTCGTCAGGGCCAAACTTTCACTTCACGTCACCCCAAAACGGCGGAGGCAACAAACCTCCAGAAGAGATTTTGACACGAAGCGTCTGACGATCCAGCGGTAACACATGGTTTCAGAGAGCAGCTTGAACATGGGCTGATAAACAACCGAACAACAAACAACCCAAATCCCAGTGCCGAATGGGATATTCTCGACACTGTCATGACAAAAACCTGGAGAGAGACCCTCGGCCAGATCAAAAGAATACTCCAAGACAAGTTTGATTAAAATGACCCAGCAATGAATGTACTCATTGATGATAAGCGTGCTGCTTTAACTGATTGGCAGAAAAACCCTCAGTCTTGGACCATAGCTGATACCATCCGCAAGATGAAAGTGGCGGCATAGCGGGAACTTCGCAATCTAAAGAACGACTGGTTTAAAAATACAGCCTGTGAAATACAAAAATTTGCAGATCAGCACAAGATGCGCGAATTTTTCAATTCCACTAAAACATTTTATGGTCCAATCACTCATGACGCAACCTACCCTCCCCCCCCTCCGCTCATCCAACAGTAACTCCCCAATTAAAGACGAACAAGGCATCCTTCAACGCTGGAACGAGCACTAACATTCACTGCTCAACTGAAACACTGGTGTGGATGTCCTCACCAGGCCCCTCAGCATCCAGAGCTGACCTCAGCTATCTTCCACCCCTGGATGTGGTAGCTGCTGCCATCAGACAGATGAAAAATAACTAAGCCTCATGGCCTGATGAAATCCCAGCCGAGGTGTATAAAGCAGGAGGACCTCTCCACTCTCTCCTGGGGAATATATGGGAAAAGGAGAAAATCCCCCAACCTCTTAAAGACGCCACCATCGTCAATATTTATAAGAACAAGGAAGACCGGTCAGACTGTGGCAACTACCACGGGATTTCACTGCTGTCCATAGCTGGCAAGATTATCGCCCGAGTCCTCCTAAACCAGTGGTTCTCAACCTTTTTCACTCCATTCCTCCCTTGAGGAATTTTCAACATCCTCGTGGCCTCCTTCATTTTTCTCCCAGAACAGACAAACAGACACGTGATAAAGACTAAAGAATGATAAAGAAGGACAGATAAATAGGACAAGAGTTAGAATGGCAAACACACACACACACACATTCACATACATAACACGCCCATGCACTCACACATAAAGCACACATACAGTCATACACAAACATGCACACAGGTTAACATTCACACTCAAGCTAGCAAGCTGAAGTGTACTTCCAGTAAGCAAGAACACGCCTCCTTTGACAAGCACTGCCCAACTTGGAAGAATGAGAAGAACAGTGAGTCATGCAATTTAGCACTAAAAATGGTAAGATTATATAAGTAAAGAATGAGTATGAACAACAATGGCACCAATAAATAAGGAAATAATTAATAAAGGAAGTATACAAATATTTCACCCACGTAAAGCAGCGACCACATGAATTATGAAACAAAATAAGTAACACCAATTACGGAGTATATTATTCTTGAGTTAAGCTCAAACACAATATATGGTTCAGAGACAATACACACCACTGTTTTCGTGATGGTATCCCAGGCCAGACTGAGATCATTCGGTCCTATCACCACTTGCAAAGGGATGACACACGGACACGTACTGAACAAGTCAGTTCAGCAGCTCGGTCCAACGCCTGTCACACAGACAGGGAATGGACCTGTCAAATCTTAAATAATCCGTAAAAAATAAAAAAAAATTAGCACCAGAGTATGTAAATAATAAAATAGTATTTTCGTTATGATTAAACAAAATGACAAAAAAAGAATGAAAATTCTCTTCTGCCAAGGCAAAATAAGTAATACA